GGGAAAGGGGGAATTTCCAGGCAAGAGACCAGTTCTAGCAGAGGTAGGACTATTTTTTTCTCTTCTGGGACCCTGACCCATCAGGGACCCTGATGGGCGGTAACCAGGAGTTCCCTTCCACTGAGTAGGAGGCTCCTGGGCAGCTCAGTGGTCTTAAGAAAACCCAGAGCAACTTGGCAGAGGGCAGACATAGATGCTAACTGTAGGCACTTGAGCCAGAGAGTCTAGGTTCAGGCCAACAGGGGCCAGGGCTGGACTTGCTCCTGGGGGAGGTCTGAGAGGCTTGCAGGCCTTGTGCAGGCCCCTGAGGGCCCCAGAGACAACGCAAGGGTACTTTCCATGCAGAATCCCTCCTTTCCTGCTTCTTACCTTCAGGTGCTCCACTGGCGGGCACTAGGATCTCACTTTCCTGGAAGCTCAGCCCCTCACCCAACCCCACAGATCTTCTGCAAGCATCTTTGGCTGTGTTCTCAATTTTTCCTTCTCCTACACTTCATCCTTAATATAGGTTTTTAGGCATACATCTCCTTATGTTTATCTGTCCATCTGTCTCCCTGGCCTTCCTGCCTTGGGCTCTTCTCCCCTGCCCTGGATGATTGTGTTCAGTTCCCAGTGATTGTTGTCTGTCACCTCTCCCCTTGTCAAGCCTGTGCCAGATGCCTGAGACACTCCAGCTCTGGGTTTCACAGTATCACTTCTTTTAATCCTCAAAACAACTATAGAAGGTAGGTTCCACTCTCATCCTCTCTAACATACCATGTGCATTATAGCCTCAGGGCCTTAGCACTGCCTCTTCCTATTGCCTCTGGAATTCTGACTTCCCATGACTTTCTCCCTCATTCTGTCAAGTCTGTTCAGACATCACCTTGTCATTGTGTTCTAACCTTACCATCCTGTTTGAAATAGTTCCCTCACCTTTGTGACTCTTGTCTTCTTTTTTTTTTCCTTCACAACTCGTACGTCACATGACATTCTATGTGTTTTATTTTCTTATTTGTAAAGTTCCCCCTACTAGAATGTAAAGGATAGTGTGTTTGGTTTTTTTCCTGCTATTCCCAGCACAGTGGCTGATACAGTAAGCTGTTAGTTTTCCATTTTATAAATGAAGATCCTAAGGAGGCTAGGAGAGGCTAAGAAGCTTATATAGGCAGGGCCAGGTTGAACCCAGAAGTATGTGACCTGACATTTCCATTAGGACAGTCTTAAGGTGGGTTGGTTGGTGGAGGCACCTACTGTTGGGTCTGACCCACTAGCTGAAACACCTGGACCTTTGGAGCTGGGCCAGTCCCCTATATAACACGGCACCAGCAGAAACCTGTATCTTCCTGTTCAAGGTGCTGGGACCTTGTTTCCTCCCAGGAGCAGGGGAGCAGCTGCTGCAGGTGGAACCAGTTCTCACCAGCAGTTCTCTGCTTGGGCAGTTTTAAGTGCCAGCAGAACCCATGGCCTTGTGTCTTCATGCAGTGGAAAGAGCTGACAGCTTCAAGGCAAGTCACTTCTTCCAGGCTTCAATTTCTTCATCTGGAAAAGCAGAAAGGGAGTTAACTTTCAGACTCCTTTCTACTTCAGAAAATCCAGAATTCGGTGATATTTTGCCTTCGAAAGCTGTATGCAAGGGTCCCCTGAGGCCTCCACACTTCAGCACTGCCACCATTTTATTGGGCATTTGGCTCATTTAATCCTACAGGGTCTGTGTAAGGTGTGTACCAGTACTGTCCTCCTACAGCACTGTTTACATGGTCAGGTGGCAAGGCCAGGCTGAGGAACCCAGTTATCCTAGCAAGTCTCCAGCCCAAGGCTCCTAGCTCTCCTCTGCTCGGTCTGGTGGCACAGGGCCTGGGTGGGGGGCTTGGACACCACCAGCTCTGCAGTACTGGACAGAAATCTGGAACTTGAGGCTCTGGCTTCTTGCTGTATGATGTTGCTACAGCCAGGTTCCCTTTGGTTTTGGGAAGCCCTTAATCAAGAGAGTTGGGGAAGAACACAGCATCCATGCCCTCCACCAATCCTATCCCTGCCTGATAAAAAGCCCTGATTTCTAGCAGGTCAACCAATTAGGAAATAATCCAGTTTGGGGAATATTTTAGGAGAGAAAGGAATCATTTGGGTCTCGAAGTGGAATTTGTAATCTTTGGGCTACATACAGGATAGTTGTGTTTAGGGATTTTAAAAAAATGCAGGAGCAAGGGAAGATAGCATCATTAAGGGATTGTTCCCTAACCTGGGAGTGTTTTGTATCCTGCACTTTAAGGATGCCTTTGCCTGCTAGAGAACGAACCCAGGATGGGCAGCTGGTGACGGAAGCAGGTGCCTTGTCCCTGGGGAGAGAGTAGTCCAGGCCATGCCATTCTCCCTCCCTCTGTGCTCCCTCTGCTTAGCCCCTTGGCAGCTCTTCCTGAACTTGTTTTTCCAAATCACTAATTAATCTCACGCTTGGGCTCCCAGGTGGGCGAGCTCTCTTAGCTTACTGTCCTTAGAGACAAAGAGCTCAGCTTCTCATGCTTCCTCGTAGAGCTGAGACCTGTTGTCCCTACCTCTTACTCCAGGCCCCTGTGCTTCTCTGGTTAAGGAGTAGATCTGGGGCCCTGGATTCCCAACACCACCATGGCTACCAGGCAGGTGATTTTACCAGCTCCCTGCTGATGACCATGGTCACCCTATATTAAACTGCATTGTTTTGGCATCCCATTTCTTAGGGGAGGGAAAACGAGGCCAGCAAAGGCACTTGACTTGAAACTTACCTTTCCCAGGAGAAGCAGACAGGAAAAGCCCCAGGCAAAGATGTAAAATAGTGTCTGTGGCCCATCCCCTTCTCCAGCCTTTTCTTTCCATTCTATTTCTAATTGATTCATCAAAGCTGAACTATAAATTGAAGCACATTGTCCTGTAAGATGGGAGATTTGTCCTAAGTCCTAAGGGAACACATCCTCAGGTAAAATAGGATCAGGGAGCTGACTGGAAACAGGCTTAATTCAGAGTTGGCATTCCTGCCTGAGAATTGATTGTACTCAGGGGTCATAAAGACAGGGGAGTATGAAGGGAAAGTACAGACTCTCAAGTTAAACACCAGTCCAAATCTGGTTTTCACTCTTCTAGATTGTGTGCCCTGAGATAAGTCACCTTTCTGATTGTCAGTTCCTCCTTCATAAAATGGGATGGTGAAGCTTGTCTCCCAAGTCCCCAGGGCAGAGAATAGGCCTAACGGTGCCAGCCATAGAATAGGCAGCCAATGAGTATCCATGGCCACTGTTCCTTTCTAAAACTTGCTCCTGTGCCAGAGGCCCTGGGCAATAGTTCAAGAGAGAAAGCAGTCATTTGGACCTTGAAGTGGAACTTGTAACCTTGGGGTCACAAAGGGGACAGTTCTGTATTAATAAAAAAAATCAGAAGGGAAGATAGTAGTGAGGGGTTGTTCCCTAAACTGGGGGGGGGGACCTCTTAGTCTATTTTGCTGGATCCCCTGTGTTCTGCAGGATATTTTGCAGTCCGTACAACAGGCTGCTCCCTAATTCCCTGCTGGTACGGACTCCCCTGGAGCAAAACCTCTTTGAGTCCTCATTGGACAGGGACACGACCACGATCAGGTGGAAATTGGGACAGCACAGCTGGGAGTTGCCAGGTGATCATGTGACCACAGGTCTCCTTTGCCGCCTATTTAAGCTCAACAGTCTGTTCCAGAAGAGAGCCCATCTCACCCCTAAGCTGGACAGGTAGCAGGAGCTAGAGTCTAGATCTCAGCATCAGGCAGGCTGATGGCATTGTATGGCATGGCATGAATAACTGACATTACTACACATGTATTTCTTCATTCATAATGATTGGACACTTCAGCCTCACCATTCCTCTGCCAAGTGCTGCTGTCACCATTCTAGCTGAGATCCCAGCAACTATCAGAATCAGCTGCTGCCACTCTGATTGTAATGGGTGCAGTTCATTTTTCTTTGTTTGCTTGCTTTCTTTCTTTCTTTTTTCTGGAATCTCACCATGTAGTTCAAGCTGGGCCTGAACTCACTATGTAGTTCAGTTGAGCCTCAAAGTCAGGGCAGTTCTCCTGCCTAGCCTCCCAAGTGCTAGGATTACAGGCGTGTGCCACCATGCGAAGCCTCATTTTTCTTTGGAGCCCAGTGTTCCAAGTTTGCAAAAAAGGGCAAGACTGGTTATTCTGCGTAGACCATTATCTCCTACCATGGTGCATGTTGTATTTTAGTCATTCAAAAGGAGACCCTGAGATGAGAGGCAGGAGAGAAGGACTGAAACTTATGGCTCGAGCTGGCTTATGACTGCAGCTGTGGTCAATAGGCTCAGCCAGTGGCAGTCTAGGTTATTCCTTGCAGACCTCCACCTTTGAGCATCCCAAAAAGCAGTGGACTACAAATTTGAACATGTATCAGGATTACCTGGAAAGTTTACTAAGATTGCAGGACTCTCTCTCCCTAATATTTTGTACTCCTTACCTTTGAGTGGGGACAGAAATTTGTATTTCCGATCTAGGGACCTGATGCTTTTGAGCCAGGACTTGATTTTGAGGACCACTGCTTGATCACTCCAGCAATGATCTGTGGACAAAGCCTAACCTGAGACTTGTGAGCTCAGCAGGATTGCAGACCCTGCTCTATACCTCCTGAATGAGAATCACATTGGGAAATATTTGCAGCTGCTTTGTAGACCCACAACAGTTAGAGAGCCCTTAGAGCACAATGGGTCAGATTGGGGAGGGCTGTCATAGATAGGGCCAGGCAGCTGCAGTTCCCTGACCTGTCATTTCCAGCCAAGTACAATCTCTCTTCTGGGTGCCATGACAAAAGTATTATCCTAGAACACCTACACAGGGGGATAAAGGGCCCCTGAGGAGAGAATTCCAGCCCAAGTCTCTCTTAAGCCCACCATTCATCTCATGGACTGCCTGGTAGCCTATATGCCCACTCTGCATGAGCATACCTGTTCCCAGCAGAGCCCAAACATCCTTGTTTTGACAGCTGTTTCCGTCTCCCCACCTACAGGTAGTAGCCTTTGCCTCTCTCTTCTTCATCCTGGTTTCCATCACCACTTTCTGCCTGGAGACCCATGAGGCTTTCAACATTGACCGAAATGTGACAGAGATTCACCGAGTGGGGAACATCACCAGCGTGCGCTTCCGGCGGGAGGTGGAGACAGAGCCCATTTTGACTTACATTGAGGGTGTGTGTGTGCTGTGGTTCACGCTGGAATTCCTGGTGCGCATTGTGTGTTGCCCAGACACTTTGGACTTTGTCAAGAATCTGCTCAACATCATTGACTTCGTGGCTATCCTACCCTTCTACCTGGAGGTTGGGTTGAGCGGCCTGTCATCCAAGGCGGCCCGTGACGTGCTAGGCTTCTTGCGCGTGGTGCGCTTTGTGCGTATCCTGCGAATCTTCAAGCTCACGCGCCACTTCGTGGGGCTCCGGGTCCTGGGTCACACCCTGCGTGCCAGCACCAATGAGTTTCTGCTGCTCATCATCTTCCTGGCCCTAGGTGTGCTCATCTTTGCCACCATGATCTATTATGCTGAGCGTATTGGTGCCAGGCCTTCCGACCCACGGGGCAATGATCACACCGACTTCAAGAATATCCCCATCGGCTTTTGGTGGGCTGTGGTCACCATGACAACGCTTGGGTATGGGGACATGTGCCCCAAGACATGGTCAGGCATGCTAGTGGGAGCACTGTGTGCCTTGGCCGGCGTGCTCACCATCGCCATGCCTGTGCCAGTCATTGTCAACAACTTCGGCATGTACTACTCCCTGGCCATGGCCAAGCAGAAGCTACCCAAGAAACGAAAGAAGCACGTGCCTCGGCCAGCCCAGCTCGAGTCACCCCTTTACTGCAAGTCTGAGGAGACGTCTCCCCGGGACAGCACCTACAGTGATACCAGCCCCCCTGCCCGGGAAGAGGGTACAGTTGAGAGGAAGCGGGCAGGTGAGTAGAGTTTGGAAGGGGAGGATGGGTCCCATTCTCACAGTGGCCGTGGGAGTCACAGGTAAACAGTCCTTGGAATTTAGGGCTGTGCTTTAATGTACTGGCTTTCCTGAAATATAAGATGTGGTTTTATGAGGGCACAATGTCAAAGGTTGATTTTCTCTGTTCTCTGACTCTTGTGGTCTGTGGAGTGAGTCTTCTGTGCAGTGTAGGCAGCAATAGGCAGTGCATGGAGAGGTAATAGAAGCTTTAGTTTCTGTTCCCTCTTGGTCATGTGCTGTGTGCCCCAAGGCCAGCCTTTCACCAGCTCTGGACATGGATTTCTCACCTGGGAAATGGAAATGTTGTTATCATATCCCCAAGATGCTGATGAAATGCAAATGAATGATGGATATGAAAACACTGAGAAGCTACAACCACTTTGCTAATGTCAGGCACTGTCATTATTAGCCAGAGAGCAGGGCAGCTGTTCTTCCAAGGTGCATCAACACATGAATCATTTCTTTCCTAACATTCAAGTCTGGTGTCTCTTGGCCTAAAAAATGTGATAACGTAACAGCAGTGGGAGGCTGCCTTCTGTTCAGCACAAGCTAGATTGAGTCCTGGGCTCAGGGTTTGACATGAGATGGAAGGGAAATGAGTGGGGAGGGGCTGGAAATGGAAGCAACCAGTGACCACATCCTGGGAGGGAAGCTTGGGCATTGAGTCCTGTCCTTCAGACCTGGAGAGGCCAGCATACTCTGCCTGGGTCAGAAGACAGCAAGGGAGATTGATCCAGTGCCCAAAAGCATAGAGCTAAGCCAGAGGTCAGGTAAGTCACTAGCTGTTAGGATGGGATGGGCCCTAGGGGAGGGCGGGATGACTGGTATTGAGGGCTGTTGTATGCCAGGTCCCCAGGGAGTGGGCTGGTCAGGAATTGAGGCAGCAGCTCCCATCTAAGATCAGGAACAAAATTCGACTCATTCTTCAGGGAGGGACCCAAGTCAGACCACTCACCTGTGGCCTTAATCATGTGCCCATTACACATACCTGGGCCTCATACTCGCTGGGGTCATTGAGCTCTTAGTCTTCCTTGATAGAAGACCTGCTAGAAGAGCACCCCTCCAATTGTACTCTTCTCCCCACAGTGGTGCCCCTTCCCATTCCTGAACATGTCTCCTAGGGGATTTCATCTGCTCTCTGAGGCTCATTCAGGATTCAGATTCCTCCATCTAAATGTAGAGGTCCTTAGCTGCTCTTGCCAGCCATACCTTTTGTCTGCTCTGAGTGCTCGGCCATGGTAAGGGCTTGCTTAGCAAGGCCCAAGCCACTGTCTTCAGACCAAGTAGCCTCTCTTCCCCAGGTCTCCTGTGCTGCCTGACTAAGGCAAGGGGCTGGGCTCAGAGTCACAGCTGTGAGAAGAATTAGAGCTTCTTCTGCACAGTATTCTCCCCAGATACAGGAGAACCCAGCAAGCAGAGAGCTCCAAGGCATTTGGGCACTGGCCTTGGGCCTGGGTGCCTTTGAGTAAGAATAATTTATGTAAGTGGTGGAAGAAGAGAGCAGTGGACACCACTGCATAAGTTCAGCTCTTGTGGTGCCACCCTCACCCCCAGCAAGCCAGGAAATTCTCCATAGGAATGCAAACTCATTGAAAGGCCAGCCTGAGCCAGACCCAAGGAGGAAGCAGTCTACTGCCAGCCTGGCTGATGTCATGGGGCAGCCTCAGAAGGCAGAGCTAGGGAATCCTGCTGCAGGGTGTCTGAGCTATGCTCCATGCATGCAGGGAAGACTGTGCTGCGACTGGGGGAAGCCACCTTCAAACAGCACAGCATCCAATCTTTGGCCCTGGCCCCTGGTATCACTCTTCTTTCCAATAATACTAGGACCACCTTTGGGTTGTAGAAGTGACCTACTGGGTCTGGGATCTTGGAGACCTCAGGTGGTCCCAAGAGGAAAGCCTAGGCAGCCCCTCACAGCCTCCTTTCTGTCTGCTCCCTTCAGACTCTAAGCAGAACGGTGATGCCAATGTGGTGCTGTCTGACGAGGAGGGAGCTGGACTCACCCAGCCCCTGGCCTCTGCCCCCACCCCTGAGGAGCGCCGGGCCTTGCGACGCTCTGGCACGAGAGACAGAAACAAGAAGGCGGCTGCCTGTTTCCTGCTCAGTGCTGGGGACTATGCCTGTGCTGATGGCAGTGTCCGGAAAGGTATGGCTTCCCAGGCGGGGCAGGTGGGGAGCCCCCTAAGAACTGAGTCTCTCCAGCCCTCCCCACAAAACTTGAAGTCCGCTCCTCCCCCCAGCCCATGGCCACCATCTCCTCTGCCTTGGATGTGTCCCCGCTTTTAGGACAGGTTCCCTGGTTCTTTGTGAATCAGAAAGTCCTCTAGCATCCCCAAAGGGTCCATAGACTCCTCCCCAGAAGGTCCCCACAGAAAACATAGTGCTAGAGGGTTGAAGGAATAGGGCCACAGGCACAGCCTCTCCTCCCCATTTTTAGTACCTTCTCTGCCTCTGGGTCTTGGGACTGCCTTCATGCCTAGGTCACAGGTAACTGCCAGTCTTTCCTCAGGAATCCCGTGAACATTTTTATTTGTTTGTTTTTTTGAGACAGGTTCTCACTGTCTCACATATGACAGTCCTCCTTCCTCAACCTCCTGAGCACTGGGATTACAGGAATGCGCCACCATGCCTAGCTAGTTCTCCTTTGATCTTAGCTAAGGCTTTTCCGAGGAGGTCCCAGATATTCCCACAGCCATCAAGAGTCAGATGCCAGGTCTGCAGAGAGTCCCATTCCTCCCTTCCTTCACAGGGAGCCTAGAACTAGGGTGGGCTGACCCAGCTCTGCACGCACCTTTTGGGTGTGACAGTCCTCTCAAGGGAGACCCAGAGGTGACAAGGGGCCGGGGTGCAGAGACAGCAGATCCCAGCTGGGAGTGTTCTGAAAGATTTAGAGCGTTAACAGGAACAGCTCATTCCCTGCTGTCATGGAAGGCTGGAATTCCTTCAGCAGGCTGTAAGCCTATGGCAGAGCAGGACGGAAGTGGGGCTATGGTGTTAGGGGTTCCTGGCCTGGGAAAGCGAAGCAGAAGTGATCGCAGGTGTGTGGAGGCCAGGGGCGGCTAAGACCAGACACTGCTGCCTGGTTTCCAATCACTTTGTTTTTCCTGTCCCCGTGAACTAGGCTCCCTAAAACCTTATCTAGTTCCGGGGCTCTCCCACAGACGAAATTTCTCCCCAAATTCTCTGCTGGTCTCTCCCCACTTCTTAGCTAGTCAGATTTTCCACTCCCTGCTTTCCACTATCCCCCAAACTGCAGACCCATACTGGGTTGAGTGAGGAAGGGGCAGTGGCTACTGTGAAGATAGACTTTGATGTCTCTGGCCACCTAAACATGGACCCTGGCTGCCCCACCAGGCAGGCTTGTGAAGTACCTTCCCAGGCCCTTCCATCTCTGCCCAGATGGCATCACTGCTCTCACACACTCCCCAGGATACCTTGACTGCCAGGCGCTGAGACCTATGTGTCCAACTTTGCTGGTTATGTGTCTTGAGTGACAGAAGCAGCAGCAGCAGTTTGCCCGCTAGAAGGAAATGGCCCAGAGGTCTTAACTAAGTGGCTGCAGATAGAGTATGCCTGGAGCTTACACACCTTCATCTATCACCCTAGTGCCCCAGTCCCAAGCCCAAAACATGTCCTTCTCTCTTGAGCCCTACTCCAAATGTGCAGGGGCTCCACTGTGTCCTCATTCATAAACCCAGAGTCTTGCTCAAGCTGAAGCCTGATAAGCAGACAGCCTTAGAATGTAGGATGACTTTAGCATACAACTGAGTGTCAAGCACACTTGTTTCTCTCCTTGTGTTATGATATCAATGGAAGCAGACGTGAGAAAGAGGCTGTGAGAGGAAAGTAAGGAGGGTACTAGGGACAGCTGCACCTACAAAAAGGGTGCATGTGCCCTTGACTGGGAAACCTGTATCCCACCACCCTGTTTCTGTGGGGTGCCTGTGGGACCCAGATGCTCTATTTTCAAGATGCCTCCACATTGCTTCTTGGCAACAAGCATGTAGCTCAGCCAATTAGAGTGACCTTCGAGAGGGAACAGGTGGGTTGCTGGGAAACAGGCCCAGCTAAGCAAGCTTGGCAATTAACATTGCCAAACTCCCAGTGCGCACTTAACTTTCCCCACGCGGTACATGCCACACCTCTCTGGACTGAGCTACATTTAGGACCAGGAGAGAGTCAGTCTGGGCCTCCTCCAGCCGTCCACACAGACCCCACCCTTGCCTGTACCTGCCCTTGTGTCAGTGTCAGCTCCCTGGAGGAATGTGGCAGGTGCTCAGTGGGGCTTCTTAGGGTAGAGAAAGTGGGTGCTGTAGGCTGCAGGGTCTTTGTGCAACTGGGTTATCAGGAGTTTGAAGGGAACTTATCTGGAGATAGGACAAAATAAAGGTCACCTGGCTGTGGGGCCCGGGAGTCTGTCCTTAGGAACCCAGGAGACACAGAGGCTTGGGAGAATCAAAGATCTTAGGAAGAACAGACTCACCTGCCCTAGCCCAGGGCCATGTTGGAGCATGGATTCCATGGAGCCGTCCTGGTGAGGAGCTGTGCCCCTCTGACCCGTGTACCTTTTCTTCACCAAGGCTGTGCAAAATCCCGGAGTCTAAACAACATAGCTGGAGCGGCTGGAACCAGTCTGGGGCTGTCTCCACTGGCATCGCGGTACAGCTCACCCTATCCTCAGAGAAAGCTCCTGCTGTCCCATCCCTTCTACCCCCTCACCAGTCCCCCACCTGGCCCCTCAGCGCCTTAATTGCACCTTTGGCTTTCCTTGCCTCTGGGCAAGGAAATACTCAAGCTGGTATACTAGGTGCCCTCCCAGCTCTCTTCCCTCCTAGGGCCTGAGGGATCAAAGGAAGGGAGATAAGGGCCAAGCTGGAGGAGAATTCAGGTCCTTGAGCTGAGTGCTCCTCAAGAGATTCAGCTTTGGACCCTGAATGCAGAGAGGAGGGGTTACTCCCAGGGCTCCTACCCCTCCCCTCACCCTTAGTATCTTCTGAGCCATAGGTACTGGCACACTCATGCCCTGCCTCTCTTCAGAATCCTGTGGGCCAGGTGGTATACTGTGTGCGTGAGACCAGTCAGCCTTGCTGGGAGCCATGCCTATGTTAATATCACAGCAAATGCATTTCCATTCCTAGTGGCTTTTAACCAGCAACCAGAAAGCTTGCCTGTCTGTCTGTCTCTCCATTGCATATGAGACAAGTGAGGAACAAGGCTGTCAGGTGGGACATCTCTGCTGGCATAGGGGACTTTGATTTTTCAAAAGAGCAGTGCCCACAGCCCTGGGAGAAGGAACCTGATGTTTTTCACCTTTAATCTGGGGTGCAGATGGGAGCTCCTAGACCTGAAGCCTCAAGCTTGATGTAGGCTATGGATGGCTGCCTAGGTGCAGGAGGCCCTCCTCTCTGGGGACCTGTGCCCAAATTGAGTAAGTGACACCCAGGGGTGGTGCCTAGTCTCCCATCTGTGACCTGCACTGCAGCATCTTTCTCCACACTGCTTCCTCTGCTTTTGAGATAGTGTTCCTCTCTCTCAAGCTCCCTCAGGCTCCAGCCCTGCCTCTGAGTCACCTGCCACTCCCACCCAGCTTCTGCGTTCTGTATTCCTGCCAGAACCGGAGACTCATCTAATTTCTATAATTAAGTGTATTCATTTACCTAACAAGCCCGGGAGCACAACAGGTTTGTGAGTCATTGGGTGAACAGGGGTACACCTTGCGCAGGGACAGCTGAGGGGAAGTGAGGAGACAGAAGCCACCCTGCCTGCACCTGCTTCTGCTGCTCCCAGGGAGGCCCACATCTGCCACCACCCCCCCCCGCCCAGGCTCCCCTCCACCTGGACCCAGGAGTCAAGGCCTCAGCTGAGACATTTCCTGTTTCACCTGATGGGAATTAGACCTGACAGCAGAGCCCTATGCCTGGCAATTTTTAGAGTCCTATTATGCAACTTTATAGCAGGAGTGACTAAGGAAGGTCCATATCTACTCTCTCTGGTGGCAAAGACAGGCATGGCAAAACAGCTTTTAGAGACCTGTCAGGAGGCTATATCTATCATCTGGGTGCCACACCAAAAGACAGCCTGGACCAAAAGATCAGGTTATGTCCTGGAGTTAAGGTGAGGTGGGAAGCCTGTGCCAGGGACATTACCATTTTAGTGCCTCCATCAGCTCTTAGCTGGCAGGATGTCCCTGCCAGAAAGGTATGCTCAGTAGGTATCACTGGATCCCCCCTAGCCCGGCTGTGGTCTGTGGGGCCTATTTGTCACTTCCTCTTAGAATGAAGTGATGCATAAGAATTGATCAAAATGACATAGGGACATCGTGTGACCGCCCTTCAAAAGAGGACAGGCTCCTTTAAGTGGTGGGATGGGACAATCTGTAGGGAGGACGAAGACACTGGCACCCTCTGTCCTTGCAGTGGAGCCTCGGAGCCCAGCTTCCTCACAACAGGTCCAGCCCCATTCCACAGAGCTCCAAGCACAGGGGTTCCTAGATGGGGTCCAATGGGACATGACAAACTAGGTGTTCGACTAGCACGGCTACCACAGCTACGTTGTCTGCTGACTTACCACTGTGGTTCAGGGAGCTGAGGCGGCTATTTCTGTGGCACCCCTCAAATTGTCAGGAGCCCAGGTTTCCACGGCACCCACCGCCTCCTTCCCTCTTTCCTCCTACAAGGATGGGCATGCTCATGGCACCCCTGTGGGGGGCACAGATGTCCCTGGGCGATGTGATGCAGAAGTGCCAGGCTGGAGCCCCTCATGCCTGGGGGAGGGGCTCTCATAATCCTGCCAACTCCATCTTCATAGAGGAGAGACAAGGCCCAACTGGTGGGAGTGCTGTGCATGGGGGCTGCCCCCAGCTACCTGTAAAGACCTCTGGGCCTTCCCAGGACCCTGGGAAAGGGTAAGTCTCAGCATTCTAGAGCCCTCATGTACTCCAGGCCTAATCTGTGCATCCACCCCACCCCCAGGACTTGGGCATCCCTTCTTGAGGGAAGGCTTTCTCCCACCCACACTCTGGGAGTGTAATTTGCTTTTCCTTGGACTGGATTTGGACTTGCACCCAGCATTTCAGTTTTTAGAAACCTTTCTCTGCAGTTTGGCCTCACCTTCCCACAAAGCATGGAAGCGACCCATACAGGAGCTCTTATCTTCACTTTCCAGTCTGTACCAAGACTAGCTAGAGAGGGCTTCACAGCCCCCTGGCTTCTAAGAGAAGTGTCTGTGAGGTGCCACCAGAGGGAAAGTGACTGTTTATTCCGGTCTGACAGGAACTGGAGGGCAGGAGGAATGCCTAGCCCTAAGTTCCAGGAGGCACCTTTGGACCAAGGCTGCCCTTCACAGAGCCTTTGGGAGAGGAGGACCTCCTCTACCCTGACCAGTGTCACCCTCTATCACCTATGTCCCACTCCCACTGGGTTACATAAATGGGTTCTAAAACAAAATTTCCATGAAGACCCCAACTCTGAAAGGCCCCCAAGGATGCAGAGACCATGAAAGCCAATGAAAAAACCACCAAAGTCCAGGCATGGTGGCACATGCCTGTAATCCTACCTACTTTGGAGTTGAGACAGGAGAATTACAAGTTCAAGTCCAGCCTGGGTGACTTAAAACAAAAAGAGCTGGGAATATAGCATGTGGAAAGCCCTGGTTCAATCTCCAGGATTGAAAAAAAAAATCCACCAGAGGCCATTCTGACAGGTCAGCTTCTTTTCTGTTCCCTATCACCCTGGCCAAGACCCTGTGATATCTCAGGCCTTCCTACCAGTGGGTCTTAGGATCTGATGGCCTACAGGGAATCCAGTGACACTCCCCTTCCCCTAGCAAAGGGGGACCAGTGGCTGGGTCAAATTACACAGAAAGGTCAGTGTTGGTAGTTCTTGAGAAGATCTGTGCTTGTCCTGAAAATTGGCTTCTCTGACTTCCTCCAAGAACACTGTGGACCAGGGGGCAGTATTTATAGGATAGCTGGGATCCACAGTCTTCAGGAGATGGAAATAGTCACTCTAAACTGAGAACACTCTTCCCCCAGAGAAGGACATCCAGGACAAAAGCTCTGAGGTCTGTTGGCCAAATCTAATAGCTACAGAGGTTGTCACAGCACCTTCCTGGAGAGGCTAAGCTCTTACTTACACTGTTGGCCCAGCCTTTCTGACTGCCCTGCTGCTTCTCAGAAGCAGGGGAAGAAGAGATCAAGCCTCAGATGTTCCAGGTTGAAGATGGGGGACCAGTGAGGGCTCCCTGAGTGGTTGAATCTCTTGGTAAAATGCCACTTGTCAGCCCTCTTCTCCTGAACGTCCTCTCTTACCTGAAGCTACATGTCCTGTCCTCCATCTGCTGGGACTTTTTCTGTCATATCGAGAATGGGGATGGGTAGGACATGGCTCTATAGCTTCTACCTTCTTTACCCGTGCTTTTGGACAGTGGAGTAGTCCGGGGTGGTAAAGTAGTCCAGGGTAGTCCAGATGAAGGTTTTGGTGGGAAAACTCAAGTTGGGCAGGCAGTAGCTGGGTTGATGGTCCATGAGCCACAGTCCACATCAGGTATTTTCCTCACCACCTCCCTAACAGGCTGTAGAGTATGGACCCTCTCTCACTGTGTTGGAGTACTGAAGATTTGAGAGTAGTTCCTACAGCTAGTGGTTACCTGATCAGGCATGGAGATGAGCTACAATGTCACCCAAATCCCATTAGCCCAAAGCTGTGTTGGCAGATGGATGATGAAGGGCTCACCCCATTCCCTAACCCATTCCTGCTCTTCCTAGCCTCTTAACCTTGGGTTCCCTGTACCTTCTAGCTCTGTTCCTGCCCTGCTCCTCAACCCACAGCCTGTGGGTTAGTGGCTGGCCTTCTTCTAACCTCTTGTTCTTTGTTTCTCCCTTTCTTTTGCTGAACTCCTTGCCCCCCCAGAAGGCAATGTTGAGCCGAAAGCGTGCGTCCCAGTGTCTCACACCTGTGCTCTTTAAACACAGAGACCTGCCAAGACGCCCTCTCGTCCAACTATGCCCAGGCTGAAGTCCTCACCCTCTCTTAAAGCGGCACCAACGTGAGAGACAGACAAACAGACAAAGCCAGAGGCTTAGGGAAACTCTGGAACCCAAGCACGAATCTTTCGCTGAGAAAGACACTGATATCCTTGTTTGTACAGGACTGGTGGAAAACCTACCATATGACCCTCGGGGCCCAGAGCCATCTGGGTCTGATGTTTTGTTCTATTGTACTTTGAAGAGATATATATGCACATATAGTATCTATATTCATACATACTATATTCTTGTGTGTAGTGCACGTGCTATTGGTGGTCTGTCATGTTTGTTAGGCTATGTCTCCCCAAGCTCTCTATCCACCTCAAGTTTCCTTCCCCCCTTACAGATTCCTTGTTTCTTCTGATCATGTGTGCAATGTCCCAGGAAAGTCTACCTGGGAACTGCCTGGCTACTCTCTCCTAGGGTGTTTCTTCTTTTAGGAAGTGGCCTGTTGAAGTCTATTGAAGGCCAGACTGCCCCCCAGGGTCACTGCTTCTCTAACCCAACCCTACCCCAGATTGGGGTTCTACCTCCTACCCCACATCTTAGTTGTGGGGGAACTTTCAGAGGCTCCTCTGCAGACTCTTCCACTCTTTCTAACACCCTTATGTCCTTGCTGGAGGGGGGCATTTTATTTTTTTCATTTTTAATTTTTTTGTTCTGTCTCCTTCATCTGTTTCTTTTCAAAGATGCTGCTGGGCAGACGGGCAGGGAAGGGGTCTGTCTGCCCATCTGGCTCAGGGGTCTGAGAAGGGGATGCCTTGGGTGAGAGGAGACCAGTTGCAATACTGTACTTCCTGGCCAGTGGCCAGAGGATGTGTGCAATAGCAGAGGCCAGGTGACCCCTTCAGCCTTGGCCTCTGCCCCTCCCCAGCCCTCCCTTCCCTCCTGGCCCCTCCCTGCTGTTGGTTGGTCCTTTTCTAAAGCTGTCCTCTTGTATGTGTCTGAGGCATGCCTAGGCCAGGCCCTGACACCCTGTCCGCATGCCTTCAACTGTCATGCTGTGCTCGAGCCCCAATAAAGACATCGAAGTGTCCTGTTGCTCCTCTATGTGAGTGTCTGCCTCCGTCTCTTCTTTCTGGCTCTGGGTCTGTGGGTACTTCCCTGGCTCTCAATCCCAACACCTGGGCAAGGCAGCACATCTAAGCATAATCCTGTGTGCAAAAAGGCCTTGCACTTTACAGTTAGAGGTAAATGCTCAGAGGAAAGGGGTCTGCCCAAGGCCACACCAACGGGACTAACCTCGGGTCTCTGAATCCCAAGCATTCCTGCCACCTGAGCCCACATAAAGTGGACATCTTTTCTGTTGAGGGAACTCCACTGTATTGCTGGTTTGTGCAGGGGGCCTTCCACCTCCCTGCAGGTCCACCGGCTCTAAGTGGGACAAGACCCTGGGGGTGCCAGGCACTGTGATGTCTGGGTGGTTGATGAACTGAGGCCAATCAGGAGCCACTTAAAGAGATGGGCAATGAACACACCTGGCTCAGATAATATGAGAAAGTAGTATATAACTGTCAGACATATTCCATAACCAACACTGTTGTCATCCCTGTCACCCACATTGGCTCAACACAAGGCTGGGTTTTGGTGCGCAGCCCAGGGTGAGATGCTTAGGAGGTGTTGCCATTGTGAAACTGTTGAACAAGGGGCCCTGAAATTTCATTTTATACCAAACTTCAAACTCTACAGCCATATCTGGGTGCATGTTTGTCTCTCCTTTCTTGTCTCCTCACTCTCTAGGCATAAACACAAGGATGTCCATTCAGTCTTAGTCTGCTATTTACTAGCTGGGTAACTTGGAGGAAACTCTCTAAACCTCAGTTGCCCCATCTTTAAGATGGTAAAGATGACAGCACCTGTTTTAGAGGCAGTGGCAAAGCCTGGCACGTGACACATGTCTGTAGATGACACAGAATAGATGTGCACTAAGTGTTAGTGTCCCCTTCTCCCTGGACTTGAAACTCTCGGGCTTTTCTCTGCAGATTTCTGGAATCTTCATATCCCGTCACACTGTGAAAGGACAAGAGCACACCCTGAGCTGTCTGTGGCAGAGCGCAACAGCAGGGTGAGGATCACAGGGCCTAGGGAAGGAAAAAACCAGGGGAAGCCTGTTCCTGAAGTGATGGAGAAAATCGGCACGGAGCCTAGCCTGCAGTGGAGGCTTGGCAGTGGCAGGCAGCCAGTTGTCAATTAAAGATAAAATCTCTCCTCCAGCAGTGGAGGGCAGATAGGGCTGTGGCCCCCTCAGACAGGAGAAAGTCATTTGCAGTGAGGCTCGCCTGGAGAAGCTTTTGGCCAGGCGATAACGGGATGGGATGCACTGCTGGCTCCGTAATGATACTACGCATCAAGGCCTGCATCCAGATAGCTGTGTTCTGTTTTGTTTTGTTTTTCATAGATCAGTGTGGAACTACTTGATGAGGAGGGGATGAGACCCCACCAAACAGCCTAGGGGTACTTGATGCCAAGGAACTGGGGGAACCTGAGGGAAATGCAGCTGGGCTGCATAACTCTCTAGGGCCCAGGAGGAGGAAGGGCCAGACTTGGGTGAGAAGCAGAGTCACTGATGCTGTCAAGGAAGCTGCTCAGGCTTCTGTTGGGCCTGGAACTGGAGCTGGGCCTAATCTGGGAACTGCTTAAAAGGATGGAAACTGGTTATTCAGATGGACTTTGAATTTGGTGGAGTTGGGTTCAAGCCTGCCTCTGTCATTTTCTAGTTGTAATGTTACTTAACCTGCCTACATCTTCACTCCATGTCTTTAAAATGGGAAGAAGAGTAGTGTCTACTTCCATGGGGGGCGGGGGTAATTAAAAGAGTTGGTGGTTTTCCCCAACCCTCAGCACAGTGCTTAGTGCATAATTGTTGCTAACAAATAGTGGGAAGAGGTCTGTGGACAACACATTTCAGTAACATGACCAATTTGGTTTGATGCCCTCACTTTGCAAAATTCGTGCAATGTGTTAGCCTCATTTCAGTGAAGGCTGTATCTCTTTGTGAAGGAGTAAGTTGGGATAATTCCAAACAGCCAACATTTATGGAGTGTGAGGCAATACATTTAATGTTCATAAAAACGCATTCAGAAATTGGTGTTACCATTATCTTGGTGCTGCAAGGGAGGAAGCTGCAGCACAGCAATGTCAGGTTATTTCTCCAAAGACACACAGCCATAAAATAACAAAGTTAGGATTCAGACCCATCCTAATTAACTCCATGGGCGTGATGCCTGGCCACTATCTAAATTGAACGGGGTTAGGGGAGGGATATGACCTTTAGATATTTGTGGGTTCTTGGTGGGTTTTTTTTTCCCCCCTCCTTGAGACAGGGTTTCACTGTGCAGTTCAGGCTGGTCTTGAATTCACTCTGTTGCCTAGGCTGGCCTTGAACTTGCAGCAATCCTCCTGCCTCCGCCTCTGGAGTACTGGGATTACAGGTGAGATTTGTGCTTTTAATGTTTTTTGTTTCCCTAATCGTAGTTGATTCTTAAAGCAAAAGTATTGTTTCCTCTTTCTTTGGATAAGAAAACTAGGATTTGGGAACTGAGTGATTTAAATCTCTCCTCTATGTGTGTGTGCACCCTGTGACACACATTCATGGGAAAGGGATGTCCTCTCAGACTTCCTTAGTAGATATTAACATGCAGCTCGGGGAGTGACTGTCCCCTTCGCTGCATGGTGCCACTGAGTTTTATCAGCTGACACACCAGAGGGGGTGCCTGGTATGGAGCGGTCTGGAAAAATTTATATGAGGAGCAGCTCAATCTAGGGAAGACTGGAAACCTGACCCCTACCCTCAGGCACTTCAAGGGTCCTATGGGGAGGTGGTGTCCAAGTCAGGTAGGAATGTTAGGAAGACAGATTATCTTTATTTTTTTTTTTTTTTTTGTCTTTTTCCTTTTTATCGGTACCAGGGATCGAACTCACGACTGCCTGCTTGCAAGGCAGGCGCTTATGCCGCTGAGCTAAATCCCCAGCCCCGACAGATTATCTTTAAATAAAGGTTATTAATTTTGTCACTGTCTTTGTTAGCACAAGTTTAAGGTATTACAAAACATGCTATATCAAATCAATGGAGAGGTCTCTGTCCTTCTCCCTCCAACCTACCCTCCCTGCAACTATGGCACTGTGAACACCTAGTTTTAGGCCCTCTTGGCTTTTAGAAAAAAGGAGCTTTCTAACAAAATCCAACAAAAGGAATGGATCATCTGCAGACTTGTCGCTGGAAGTGTTTGGAGAGACACTGTATGCTGGTGTTCTGTGCTAGGTTTGTGGGAAGGATTTCTGCTGGACATGGATGGTGGTTAGGAAACTCTCCCCATTTACAAGACTGACTGCCCTGAGCTGCATGGCCAGTTAGTAACAGAGACAGGTCCAGAACCAGGGCTTCTGATCAGGGCTTACATGAGTTCCTTTCCCAGTGTGATTTTCCCCCCAAATTCCTTAACTCCAGAGGAAAACTCTGTTAGTTTTATTCTGCCTCTTCCCACCTATGAGGATGTGTCAGGCCAGCCAAAGGAACATCTGTGATGTATCAGTGATGACTTAATGGACAGTCTAGATTTGGACTGTGATGTGACCCATGTCCACCCTCTGGAGGACCTGTGGCATTGTTGCAGGGTGCACCTTCCACTTAGCTCCAAGCCTTCATGTGTGCACAGTGGTGCCACCAAACATGTGGCACACGAGCTGACTCAGTCCTGTGGGTCACCACATACAGGCCCAGGACAGTATGTATCATTCTTGGGATCTGGCTCACTCCCGGGTGAGCTACAATCCCACCCCAGGTATTTGGTTGCTTCCTAAGGGATCCCTGGCAGCATGACGGTTAGTGAGCCTATGGGAACTACTCAGTACTTACCTCCTGGAAATGAAGGGTCCTGCTTTTGACTGAGTGACAGTTCCTGCTTCCTAAATCAGTGATTGCTGTTTGCTGAGGGAAGGCGGTAGGGGGCTTGGAAGGCCCTTACTCTCTGAATATACTTTTCTAGGTGACCTTGTCCCTCTCATGGGCTTAACCATTTCAAGGTTCTGGTGACATCCACATTTCTAGTTCCATTTTAGAAATCCCCTCAATTCCACTTGTTTGTGCATTCGCAGGTGCATGCTGAGGCCTTCCTCCATCTCAGGTGCTAATCTTTGTGCTGGATGCAGAGCACAGAGGCCTATCTGTTCTCCTCATTTCTCTGAGCTCTTAGATTCCACCTGCTTGGCCCCACCACAGCATCTTCACCATTTTCCTGACCCTTTGATTCTCCCCTTCTCTGTAAATTCCTACCTCCCATCCACTCTGAGGCTGAGCCAGAAATGACTGTGTGTGTGTGTGTGGGTGGGGGGCGGGGTCCTTAATCCCACCTTTTTATTCCTTTGTATTCCCTCAGTTATCTTGCATAAAATCTTTATTACACACCTATACTCCTTCTGGGCAAACAGCAATGAACAGGACTGACAGGATCCCTGCCTTCATGGGGCTTAGGTTCTAATGAGGGAGACAGGCCAGATCACTAGGTAAGATTATGTAATCCTATTTTTCACTTGGTTCCAGCCCAATCACGTTCCACATTCCTGACTCTGAAATACATTTCAGTTTCCATTTCCAGCTCCCTTCTCTCCATCTGTATGGTTTGCTTCTTGCCTCCGGCCTGGGCTTCTGCATGAGGTTCTTAGCTGCTCTCCCAGGTCTCGTGTGCCCTTCCCCACCCTATCTCCATCAGCCAAGAGCTTCCTAAAATGGAACCGATCATGTTACCCCTGCTTAAAACCCTCCATGGCTGGATTCCCAGTGCATTTCGAATAAAATTCAAACTCCTCAGGGGCCTTCATGGCCCAGCTGTTGCTCAGCCCTTTTCTAGCCTCTGCAGACTCATTCCCCCTCTGCACTCTGCTCCTGGAAAGGAGCAGTTCCCTTCCCTCAGCTTCGCACAAAGGCTGCTCTCTCTCCTGGAGCGTCTTGCACATGCTGTTTCCTCAGTGGCCCAAGTTCTTCCCTTGGCTGTGTTCTTTTCTTTTCGCCCTTTGTGTCTGGCTCAAGAAAGTGTCACTTTCTTGTGTCCCGT